GAGGGTTCGACCGGCTTTGTCCACACGGCACAACCAGCCCGGTGCTATTCGCCACGCAGCTTCCTCGCCGGAAACTCAAATACACTTTCAGAAGCCGCTAAACTGTCTTTCAAGAGCCGTTTGCCCAACTTGTTAGGAACAGCTGGGAAAGAAGGAACTGTCGCCGTCGCCTTCTGGCTTCACAAAGCACCTGGGAGGCGCTGGCGTCCTACGGTGTCCCGCTCGGCCTCCCCAGCAAAGCAGGTTTCAAAGGACGCGCGTGCAGGGCAAGCGTGGCTGCCTGTGAGAAGCAAGCGCCAACGCTGGCGTGCAAGTTTGTGTTCCTAACGCATAACAGTCTGTAGAGTAACGAACCAACAGGAGAATGGGAGATCAACTTGAAATATGGATGAAAATATGCTTTAAATACTTTCTTCCTTATATATAAAAACAGAGCTTAATGGTCCCACTGGTCATTTATTAGTGTGAATTTAATCAACATACTTAAGTTTTCTGTGACTCACTTTATCTGTGAAATGGACACAACGATACTTAATGTCAGAGGTTGGTGATGAGACTAATTAACTAATGAATAAAATATATAGCTGTCCTCACACTAAGTCAGTGCTTAATATTAGCTATAATCAGTATTTCTTCTACATACTGTAGAACTTTCCACAACTATGTTATAACACAAATATCAGTTGGTTATTTTGCAGCATCATTTGTCAACCAAAACCAAACACCAAACAAACAAAGGATGCGGCCAAAATGAAAGCGGGGATTGGAGTAAGCAGGCTGATATTTCTCTTATTTCATGAGTCTCTCGGTGAGAACTGCAAGCCAAGAAAAAGAAGCCTCTAGGTTATCGAAACAGCTATTTGTAAGGCATTCTTTACTCAGACTACGCTACGTATATTTTACATCCATTTCTAAGACGGTTCTCTGCTTTGTGGTTTTCAGGCTATAACTAATAAAGGAGATTGTTTTTAAAATACTCTGTGTTCTAGGAGCTGAGCCAGGGACCTTCCATAGCTATTTTATTTAATCTTTGCAAATCATTGTGAGGAAGCGCATTTTTTTCCTATTGCTGTAAATAATTACCACAGTTTTAGTGGCTTGACACAATACAAATTTATTTTCTTACAGCCCTGGATGTCAGAGGTGCAGAATCAGTTTCACTGGACTAAAACCAACATGTTGGCAAACCTGGGTTCCTTCTGGAGGTTCTAGGGGTGAACTGGTTTCCTTCAATTTTTCAGCTTCTAGAAGTATAATAAATTCTTCAGCTTGTGGCCCTGTCCTTCACCCTCAAACTTATCATTCCAACTCTGCATTCATCTTTATATCTCCTCTCTCTTACTCTGATCCTTCTACCTCGCACTCATAAGGTTCCCTGCTTTACCCTGGGCCCACCTGGATAACCCAGGATAATCTTTCTCGTTTAATATGTCAAGAAATATCTGTAGATTCTGGGGATAGTACATAACATCTTTGGGGACAGGGAATTGTTTTTTAGTCTACCACAGGTAGATACTATTCTACTTAGTTTTCAGATGCAAAAAAAAAAAAAGAATAATTATTAATTCCATTTGAGAAATATAATTCCAGGAGACTGAATAACTTACTCAAACTCACAAAACTACAACGCGGCCATCAACATACCAATGCAGGTCCTTCTGACCCTAATGCTATTTCCACTACACAATTCTGCCCCCAAAACAGGAAAACAAGGAAAGATATCCTCCTTAAAAGTAGATTTTTAAAATTTTCTTTATTATTTAAAATATTTATAAAACATATTTATTGCATGGCTACTATATGTGAGACTCAATTTTAGGTGCTGAAAGGAAATATGAATCAGACCTAGTCAGCCCCTAACAACCCCCTATCTTCCCATGTACTTAAATGCCTGTAACCCCTAATTCTATACCTACAGTCCTGACCAAATTCAGCTATCTAATTGCCAGCTCCAGTTTCATGTTCTATAAACTTTTTCAATTTGCCATGTCTGGAACTGAACTTTCAATTTTTTTCTGGCAAATAAGTTTAGTCCCTCAGCTTTCTCCACCTCAGGAAACATGCTTCCAGCACTCAGAGCCCACAGTTAATCAATAATCAAATACCTGGAATTTGTCTCAAAAACATATCCTAATGCCATTTACGTCTCATTATTTTCATTACCCCCAGACTTCTAACTGGTATTTCCATTGCCATTCTTATATTGTCTCGATCTGTTTTCCATACATAAACTCCTATGAACATAAATTGGATTATGTCAATTCCACGGTAAAATACCTCAATAACTACCTACTGCCTTTCAGGCATGCCATGTTCTGTTTAGGACATTTATGTGCCTGTTGCCCTGGAGTCACTAGTAACAGAGCCTCCGTTAGCTTCTAAAATTTTTCCACTTAGATGATAATTTATATAGGCTCCATATTTATAGGGTTTTGTGCAATCTTTTCTCCTCTTAAATGTTCTTCCCAGAGTCAAAGTCTTTTCCCTGAGGACTCATTGGGGTTTGCCCTGAAGTTTTCCCTATAATTGTTTCTTCAAAAGCTGAAGCCCAGTGTTTAATCCTTTGCTTGTTTTGTTTACTGAATAGCTGTTGGTGCTGTTAGGGTGCAGGGAGAAGCAGGCCCACTCTGATGGTGTTCGCCCTGGCGCGCGTCAGTTGGCACAGAGCTGGCACGTGGTGGGTGCCCACAAATATGTATGCCATACAGCCAGAGAGCTATGTAAATACACAGTATCACATTTAAATAATACAGATATGCTCAGCGACCAAAACTAATACAGAAGAGGAAGGATTACTTCTACCTAAAGAGAGAGAGGCTGCCTAGGGCAGGCTCCGTAAGGGGAGGAAGCCCAATCAGAGCTGATGAATGAAAAAGAACCTATGAGAAAGGGTTTCCGAGCAGGAGAGATGGCATTTGCAAAGGCAAAAAAGGTTTAAAACAGTGATTATTCAGGGGACTCACAGCGGTTTCTTTTATTAGAGTGTACAGTCCTGCATAAATGATATATTAATGCCACATATCCCTAAGGACAAAACCTAAATTATGGAAAACACTGCAGGAAATAGAGAGAAGAGCTAAGACGTTTGGAACTTAGCTTTGTTTTCATGTACAGGGCTAGGATGATTTGAGAATTCTTATTGCATATTTAGCTCACCTTATAAATTATAGACGTTCTTAGGTAAGTAAATCACTTTTTGAAGAGTTATATTTGAAAGTTCATTACCATAAAGAATCCTCCCAGTTGTGAGTTTGTCGTGCAATATTCACAGAATTATAGTACAGGGTCCATGAGAAACTATACTGAGATTTATGGTACATAAAGCTAAACTGGTATTTCCCTTCAAATAATTTTTTTGGTTTTCGTTTTAAGGGTTATCTCAAAACTCTGCTTCGAGAAATGTATTCTTATTCTTTCTTTGGCTGTAAGAAGAAACAGGCTAAGGCCACTAAATTAACATCTTGTCATTTTAAAATACAAATGCAAAATGGCTGTAACTGTAGATTTATAGAACATCGGGTCATATTTTGACATAAGAGTTGAAAAAGTGAATTAAAACTCATCTCAGTCCTATCCATCGAGAAAGAAAAAATTACCAAGAAACATCCTTGGCATAGGTAATCAAAAGTGGTTTCTTGAACATGAAGGATATATACCAGAAGTTGAACACGGGCGGACGACAGGACATGAATGCTGTATTTGGCCCTCAGAGCAGTTCAAAGTTTGAGCAAAGGTTTAAATTTGGAGAAGTCACATAAAACATCCAGTCTGGTCCCTCTTAAAAACACTGAAGAATCAGAATACTGGTGGGAAAACCAGTCTCCTACAGGCGAGCAGTTGTTCTTAAGTTCACCGCAGAGCCACCTCCCGCATCAGCCCAGGTACTGAGATCCAGGCCACTTCCCTTATGTATGTTCCATGCTCAAGACCTTGTGTCAGAGCGATAAAATCCTCAACAATTAAAGACCAATTGGGCATTATCAAAATGTCCAGGAAAACATTAAAATTTGACCATTTGTAATACTGAGAATTGAATGTACATGCAATTTTCAAAAAATCATCTAAAAATGCAGCAATTAAGACATTTATTCTCTACTTCCTTGGATTTTGTTTGTTCACTAAACTGCACCGAAACAAAAAGCCAAACAAATACAGGATATATCTTCAACACAAGCACATCAAATGGTCTTAATGCTGGTCTCTGTAAGGACCTAGGGGCACTAAGCCCTCTCAACACCCTTCTGCTGCCGGAGCTGTGGCTTGATTTTATTTCTTCAGATTTTCAAGTAAAATTTCACTTGGAAAAACCATTTCATGCCTTAAAAGTTTTTAAAATCATGAAACTGGATAATACTATAGGGCTTTTTAATGTGCCAAATTTTTAACAAGTTCTGATATCCATTTTTTTAAAAGCTTCACCATCTATACAAAGAAACTTCTGAACTGGGTCCTTTTCTGTGTAATTTTCCTGTTGCTCTGCTTTGCTTTTATATGCACAGCAAAAAATTTCATTAAGATATCAATTTGTGTTTTGTGCTTGCCTCTTCGGAGTAAATAGAAAAATCTGTGTATTTCTGTTTGAGCTCTCTTTGAAAGGGTTTTTGTGCTGTAAGGCCTAAAATTGCAATTCCAAGGCACAAGCCTCACTTAGGTTTTGTTTGAGAAATTGACTTACTTCTATCTAGCAGTTGAGGTGTGGGTGGAATGTGGTTTCCTTTTTCTTTTCTTTATAAAACATAGGTATATGTATTATTCCCCCTGGCCAGTAAGCTATTTCTTTTGTCACCTGGTCAATATAACAATCCAAAAATATGTAAGTATGTCACGCCTTTGATCTGTGGTTTTAATGTAAATACCTCTCCAATATTAATCTTTTAATAGCAAATAGAATATATTTGAATAGATTGAAAAACTTGACATGTTTTCAATATCTAACCTGTTCTAGATCAGGAAGGACAAAGCGAGAGAAGTCATTTCCACAGGAAGTGGAGGGCACGTACCTTAGCTATCTGGACGCACCAGTTAAGCAGCAGCTGTGATCCAATGTTATCCTTGTGTTCGTGGACATAGTCCAACAGGCAGCCATGGGGCATAAGCTGGGTCACCAGCTGAATGGTTGGGCTCAGACACACACCCAGTAACCGGACTAAGTGTGGATGGTCCATGCTTGCCATGATCAGAGCTTCCTGTCAGAAAAAATATAACATCATCATTTCAATTCAAAGTTCTTTACAAATATAGCTACTTGCACTGTGCTAATGGTGCTGATAAGGATTTCAAAATGTACTCTCACTCAATGAAATCAATTAAAAATGAAAAGACATTATGTTGCTATTATATTCTTAGTGACTTAACTGAAGTAAAATTAAATGAAAAACAAAACACTATACATTTATCAAAGTAGAAAATGTTTTAGAATAAGTGCATATGAAATTAATAGCAGTATTTTCTCTTTTGTAATACAGACTATATTAAGTGTTATTTACTGCTAGATAAATTGAAATTGAATCCTTATACTGTGGATTGTTAACCTTTGATTTTGATTCTAGAGGACAATAATTTATACAAATGCAGTTATTTACATGTAGAATAAGGTGATCCAAATTTAAGTCATCCATTATTCATGTGGATTCAAAAGGCAAACACAGGTAAGATTTATAAATTATAGTATCGAAAATTAAAAAATTATAAGCTATATACCTATTGTGTATGTATGTCAAAGAATAAACATTTTAATAAACATTTTGCTCCTAACTTTGCCTTAATTCAAATTTATTTTATTTTCAAAATTATAAGTGACATCTTAGTCATAGATTTATAAAATCTGAGAGCTAGGTGAGACTATAAAAAATTGTATATTCCAAATTCACAATTTCATGAAATAAGGAAACAGTTCTAGGTTTTTTATCATAATTATAAAGGCACTTAATGGAGATAAAATGGATTTTAGTGCACTGTAAAGTGAGTTTCCAATGAAAAGCTATTTTAAATGTCTTTATTTGAATTTGAAACAGATATGACCTAACACACACACACACACACACACACACAGAGGGGTTTGATACATATATGACAATTATTATCAATCAGTTTACCTATATGAAGCTATGTTCATTGTACTATTCTTGAACAATTTCTGTAGCTTTGAAATTTTTCAGAACAAAAAAATCAAGGACAGAAGGCTCTCTTGGGCTTCTGTTTAAGATGGCAAGGCAAACTGAACACACACATTTATTTCCACCGGCTCTCAATTCCACTATATTAATTTTATGAATTCCTTTATACTAACAACAAAGGAATTCATAAAAAGCCAGATACCAAAAATCACAGAGAGGAGGCAATAAGGAAAGAATACTGGAAATAAGAAGCAGATTACAAGTAGTAACTGACTTGGCAAACATGAGAAATCTGAAGCCTAACTTAGCAGGGGGTTGGGAACCTGAGAAGAAAACCTGTAACCACAGGTGTACACAGGTGACACCACACACCTCTGCATGCTGAGCGGGAGGGCAAGGGCATGACTTCAGCAGGATGGCGGCAAAGCATATTTAGGTAGAACTTAGACTACAGATCTCTTCCTTCCCTGCATCTTTAGGAGAGACTAACCAAAGGAGTACGAACCATGGCTTTTAGGCACAATAGAAAGAGAAGTATTCTGACAAAAATATTAGAATTATGTAAATTAATACATGGTGCAACTTGGGACCACACTCTAGTTCCTTCTTCCAAATGGAGCTGTGGCTTCAAAATTCTGAAAGTTGTGTTTAAACTTTGAATTCTCTACCCAGGAAAATTTTAACAAGGTGACTAGCTATACAGACATGTTCAGACGTATCTGTCCTTAAAACATTGTATGTCAGGTGCTTCCTTTCTCTGTTAGATGTGCATATTAAGTAAAGGGTGGGGATGGAAAAGCGTGCATTAAAATGAGGAAACAAGGAAATAGCAGTGATGGGATATTTCAGAATAAAAGATGTACAACAGAATGAGCTAAGAAACAATCCAGTCTGGAGCAGGACATATCGCTCTGGAAGAGGTGACCCAAGAGGATGGAATTGATAGAATAACTAACACATTTCAAGTGCATTAAGAGTATAGCTATTTTCCTAGCAGAGGTTGAAAATCAAATTAGGGATCCATAGAGAACTAAGCAAAAGTGAAAAAAAATAATAATTAATTTGATGTGAAACACAAGAAATTCACAAAAAAGAAAATGATTGTATTTACTACAGAGCACGGCTGGAAATCGGTCTATAATCATTGCAACGGAGACAGGAAATGCTGAAATAAACAAACATCATATGACTGTATTGGAGGACGGGGCAGGGAGGTCCACTTAGGCAAGGTGGTGATGGGAAGGAAGCAAAAGGTATATTCCTGTTGATACGGTGAAAGTTAATACTAAATGGTGCATAAAACTGAAAAAAACAAGAGTTGACAGACTAAGCATATTATTTAGATAGATGGAGCTAAGCTAGAGGAGAAATTGCCAAAAAGTTGCAAGTGATTGCTTTGGCCCATGGAAAATAAATGGGGTCAGGGAAGGGAGAGGTGGGTAGCTAGAGACTGCTGCTTTTCATCTTTGGTCCTGAACAAGTACTTGGCTTTTACTGTTATTATCCTAAAGCTATTTCTGAGGATATTAGTCACTTTTAGCCTCCACTGCTATTTTAGTGGTGTTGGGTTCAGCTGAGTTTTAAGATTATTCACAATTATGGCGAGTGTCTGATGGAGTATATAAATTTACTGAATCTAGCCAGAATCGTATGTGAGGTGTAACATCTTAGTTTTTGAGTAAGGAAGGGTGGGGCCATATGGGCAAATGCTCGGAGAAAGGAGTGATTCAGGGCCAAGTAGAAGAAATAAGCTCTTAGCATGGTATGGGCCGTAATGAAAGGCCCATAGAGGCAGAAGCTGAAACCGTCATTTCCCAGATGGCTTCCAAGTAGGTTAGGGGCTCTAATTCCCCTTTCCAAGTCACCCCAGGGAGCCAGGTGAGTCACAGAACAGGGAGAGCACCAGTTTCTGTGCTTCCTGGCTGACCCCACCACCACTGCAACACCTTGAGGGCTGGCAGCCCAGAGAGCATGGAGAGGCATCACCTCTGGCAAGGACACTGGCATCCTCAGGCGGTACCAGTCAACAGTGTCAACAGTGCCAGGGGAGGGGCCTCTCAGTGACTCCACATGGGGGCAAGGACCGGTAAGAAAGATTAAGGACACTGCAGATACCACAGGGTGACTGCAGCTGGAAAACTGGCTTATGAGTGTGTATGAGATACCCAGTAACTTCCCAGTCTACCTGGGAAAGGTTCACTGGAGACTGGAGTTTCTGCATAATCAGCAAAGCCAGGAATTTTAGTTATTAATATGGCCTCATCTGGATCAACATTTTTGTTTTACTTACTGTATATTTCAATAAACATGTGAAGTAAAGCAAAGAACTATGGTTGTAAAGCGGGCACAGAGAGGAATGTTAGCCAAGTTAAATTATCCATTAGTCAATCTAGTACTAAGATTAATTAATTAATTCAACATTAATCAATATAAAAATGTAAGCCAGAGGGTCCCTGTGCTGAATTGTGATATGCACACATATAAATATGCACATATATACCAACAAAGCAAAACATGTAATCAGATTAAATATGTAACTTAATCAAGTACCAAATTAAATATTTAATTAGACGTTAAATATTAGCTATCTCATTAACTCAAATGTATACTAACTGTATTCTCTCTATTTCCTTTCTCTGATAGCTCTCAGACTTTCATGTGCATGAGTCACCTAAGTTTATTCCTAGTGTAACTTTCTTGATCCCACTCCCAGAAAATCAGGTCTGGAAGTAGACCAGAAATCTGCATCTGTAACGAGCTCCCTAGATGAAGCCACTGTAGGAAATATGAAATTCTGAGGCCTTCTAGAACATCTCCATTAAATTTGCATCCTTATAATCCATTTCATAAATGAAAACATGAAACAGTGTTTCGATGCTTATCATAACCCTCTAAAGCAGTCAAAAGAGGTAGTGATTCTCCCCTGTAAAATGAGGACACCAGGGTGGGTGGGGTGACTGCCTCAGGTCATCTGACAAATGGATCCGTTTTGAGACTCCTGCTTTCTGATTCTTAGTGCAGCACTATTTATTATGATAGAGAAAAAAACTTTTTTTCTTTTCTTTTCTTTTTTTTTTTACTTGGTTCCATCAGCACTTCGCACTGCAGATGCCTGTCTTGCTAACCAGGAGACAGCCCCTTCCACCGGAATTAGCCATATCTGAATAGATTGGGCCTAATTATACTTTAGTTCCTGAGGAGCAACTGAAACCAAACAACAAAGGTACGCTTACAAGTAAACTGCCATCACTCATAATAAACTTTCAGAAAAAGCCAAAGAAATATCTCTCTCTGATTTCCTAAGAGTGTTACTTGATATAGGACATTTCTTAAGATAAAGAAAATAATGAAATTTCAGGTAAAAGAGAGATTTTGAGGTTATTTCAGGCTTCTTTTTCAGCATGAAATATATAAACAATGTGGTGTGTGTGTTTTTCTTTTACAACTCAAGGAGTTACGATAATTCTATTCTAAATACACATTTTAAAAGTTCCCATCAGCAGAGAGTAAAAAAAATTGCTTGAAAGTTTTCTCTTAAAATATCTATTAGCAAGTCCTGGCAAAAAAGCTGGGGTTGTATTAAGGAAAATTGCTCATCACACTACAAAGAGTATTTGAAACTAAATTGCAGAGTATTTGCATAATAGTTCTCTTTTTTGAGAAAGAAAAGATGAACAAGACACTAATTGTAGGTTTTATTTTTTCATAAAGAAAATAGCAGATGGCTTTTTGGAGGGATAGGGGAAGAGATTTTTAAAAATGAGAATATGGATTCATTTAGAGTGATGAGTGTGATGAAAAGGGGAAAAAAATCCAATGTTTTAATAATAGAGTGCTGGGTTTCAATAAATTACTGTGTGCTAAAACTAATAATGTCCGCTGTTCCAGATCTCGTGTGGCCCATGGAAAGAATTTTGGAATCTTTGCTGCTGTCACTAAAAAATATCACCAATACCACTGGAATAAGTACAATTTGGCGGGTGCATTATCAATTTTTCCAGAAATAAAATTACTCCCAGTCTTTGTTTTCCCTTTTGCTTTATAAATTCCTCTTGGAAGTAAATTAAAGT